CCTGAATAGGTGCAGAAAATAAAACTCTATTCCCTTGTAATCTTTGTAATCGCACTTGTTTTTCGAATATTGGCTTCATTTCCCACATGCGTTCAGATGACAATCAACCCAGAATTCAATAGCCACTTGAAAGAAATTACTCGTGAATGAAATGTGGCAAGACTGTCAAAAGCTCTGGTGGTCTAAAACGTCACATCAGGCTGCCATCGTTCGGCCAGCAATTGTTGCTAGTAACGACAATTCGGCAAACAAGTTTAGCTGTTCTGTCTGTCAACGTATATGCTAATCTCTCTCAGGGCTTAAAAGTCATATTCTTGAACATGCTAGGTCCGTGCCAGCCGAACAATGATTCATTATATCCCCGGTAATATTGCAAGGCTCAACATGATAAATAAGCATAAAAGAGCCTTGCTCAATAAGCTATTGATTACATATATATATATATATATATATATATATATATATGTGTGTGTGTGTGTGTGGAGAGAAAGAGAGCTAAGAAGAAGAAGAAGAAGAGGAGGAGGAAGAGGAGAGGGAGAGATAGACAGAAAAAAGACAGGGAGAAAAGAGAAAGAGACAAGACTACGATATGGTGCAAACCTTATCTCCTCGACCAATATTGCTATAGAAATTTTGATTCTTACTAAAGAAACTCTTTCACATTGCCTTGCGCCAGAATAAATTAAACCTATTACCTACCTAGACAGACTGAGAAACAGAAAGCCATATAGAAGGTGCCGGGAAAAAACAAAAAGAAAGGTAAATTCAGAAATAAATTTATTTAATTATTATGATTCAGGCACAAGCGAAACAATCATCGTAGATATTCGAAATGTTTGCCTGAATATTCATCACAAAGTTGCAAGCGTGTTATGCAGGGGGGGGGCAGTAGCTTTGCGGATAATTGTCAAGGATAATTTCATTTCAAGCTTCAGTTAAGTTCCACTTCAATGAATCAATATCGACAAGGTCACGACAATGGTTTTGTTAGGTTAAAGGTCGGCAACCTATAGCACGCGTGCTACACGTGGCACGCCAAGTAATTTCCAATGGCAAGCAGCCGCAAATGACTTCACGAAATCCGAACAAATAACTACTACAACGCAACACAGGTGTTTAGCTGTTTCAATTTGAATATATACTAAAGTATATATATACGATATATTACTCTATAAAATATATTGTAAAACAGGTATATTGACCTTGACTTGTATAAAAATATGTATGCTGTTGGCACACTGAATGATTTTAAAACCCTAAGTAGGCACATATTTAGCAAGAGGTTGCCGACCTCTGAGTTAGGATGCAGCAATCCATAATGTTCAAATCTGGGCTTTTAGAGAGCCACTGAGATGGACCAGTTGAAGCTGGTCTAATTTATTTTCTTGGAGAATGAATTTGCCGCTTTTTCACTGGGTACTCTGGAGAAAATAACAAGAAATAGAATGAGTTAATGGTCACTGAACATTTCAGTAAATGTAGTAACTTTTATATCGATGGATTCACGCAGTGTACTAAAATGTTTTCGGCTCAACCAACTTCCTGAAATCAGTATTTTAACCATTAAAAATCCTGAAGTGGGTGCACCGCAAACTTCCTTCATTATTATATTCATTATTAGTACAGTTTCATTATTAGTACATATCAATACATAGTCATTATTATATTCATTATTAGTACAGTTTCATTATTAGTACATATCAATACATAGTCATTATTATATTCATTATTAGTACAGTTTCATTATTAGTACATATCAATACATAGTCATTATTATATTCATTATTAGTACAGTTTCATTATTAGTACATATCAATACATAGTCATTATTATATTCATTATTAGTACAGTTTCATTATTAGTACATATCAATACATAGTCATTATTATATTCATTATTAGTACAGTTTTATTAGTAGTACATATCAATACATAGTACATATCAATACATAGTCATTATTATATTCATTATTAGTACAGTTTTATTAGTAGTACATATTAGTACATATTCATTATTATATTCATTATTAGTACAATTTCATTATTAGTACATATTAGTACATATTCATTATTATATTCATTATTAGTACATTTTCATTGTTAGTACATATTAGTACATATTCATTATTAAAGTCATTATTAGTACAATTTCATTATTAGTGCATGTTAATACATATCATTATTAGTACAATTTCATTGTTAGTACATATTCTATCAATCAGTTTCAGACAAAATAAAACATTTCTATTGATAATTATTAAGATACAATATCGCTACTGACTGAAAAATAACTTAAAATAAAATTTCAATTAACGTATAATTTACGGAGAAGGATAAAATTTACACAGTATTTAAAATATCTATCATATTATTAATCTAGAAAGTCTTAACATTTAAGCATTCATCACTGCCTAACAAGTCAGCAAATGAATGCGAACAATCAGTCTAAGGAGTCCAATAACAAAACATATCATCTGATGAATAGAGCACGAAGCAGAATTAGACTTGAAATTGGACAAGATCAGTGCAAGTTCGGAACCGGAACAAGAAATGTTTAGAATGGTACCAGACAGAGCAATATAAAGGCAAAAGGATTTATAGCTATACTTTATAGATTATGCAAAAGCTTTTTGATTGTTCAGACAATCATCCTCATCTTTGTTGCCATATTTATCACAACGTTTCGTTTGTATGCTCCAGCCTTCTTCAGGTGGTTGGAATGTCGAACTGAACCCTTTATTTCACTCACTAGGGTAAGCTGTTCTAGTTCCACGTGCCATGTCTAATGGATGTCAGTTATCTCCTGTTAATTTCCCTCTGAAAGTTCTCCACCGTCTTAACCCGGTGTTGAACTCACACGTTTTGGGTCCTGTCACTGGATCTAACTAACGCCTTTATCCACTGTGCCATGTGCCTTGAGGACATCTGGGTATAAATTTTTGGGTATTATAAACCTAATGTCTTCAGCAATCATTTTTTTCCCAGAGCTCATATTGCAATTTTCGTTGTTATCATTGCTTTTCCCCGGCATTCCTTATTACTAGTTCCCATAGTGTATTCATTTATATGCTGAGTCGGCTTAGGAGATTTTTGTGGCCGAGCATATGTGCTGATTCCTTAAGTTTACGAATTTTCCAATGGTGGTCCTTGTCTATGATCTCAACCTGATTCCACAGAGGGCAGTGATTTCCCTTCTGTCTCCATATGTGGTCAGCCACACCTGATTTTTCCACTTCCCCTCGTGTTACAGCTTTTTGGTGTTCTTGAAGCCTTACCTTAAGGGAGCGGCCTGTCTCACTGAAGAAGCCGGAGCGTACGTGCGATAAATATGGCAACAAATATGAGGATGATAGTCCGAACAATGTAAATAGTGTATATAATACCTCATCTCAGACATATAGACAGATGCTTTTGATAAGGTATATCAAAAAGAACTGCTGAAAGTGCTCGTTAACCTTGACATATTTAGGGAGGATATTAGAATAATCCAGAAACTGTACTGGGAGCAAACCTTTTATATACGGAAAAAGTTCTCGATAACTGTACAAAGTTTAAAAGGGCATATAAGACATAAGATGTCCTACAAGGATTGATTATTGGTGACAATAATCTTAGCATAAGATATGCAAATTACACAATGTTTGATAGCAGACACAGAAAGGAAACTATAAGGATTCTTATTGAATATAATAAAGAAAAGCAAGAAGAAAGGACTAACCAACAATTGCAGGAAGAGAGAATATATAGTTCTCAGCAAATGTAACACGCAAATTACAAATTGGGGTTACCAAAATCAAGCAAGTACAATAATTTAAATGTCTGGGAAGTATTTTAACAAAAGACGGAAAGTGCAACACCAAAATCTGAAAGCGCGTAGTAGAAAAAAATGTCTTCCAAAAGCTAAGCAAACTAAAGAAGAAAATTTCGCTAGAAACAAAGACAAGAGTAATGAAGTGTTATGTAATACCAGTCTCCCTCTATAGCAGTGAATGCTGGACAATCTCCTCAAAGATAAAAAGCAATAAATTATGGTTCTACAGAAGGATACTGAGAATACCATGAACTGAACATGTGAGAAACGTCAAAGTTTTAGAGAAAATGAAACCAAAAAAGGACTCTTATACTTAACATCAGAAAGAGGAAGTTGAAATTTTTAGGGCACATATCGAGGAAAGACGACCTGGAAAAAATAACACTCACATAATAATGATTTTCCAGATACAAGACCTGCTATATAACCGTTAGCTGAAGGGAGAGATGGATTCACACCTTGGGGGTTTTCACGTATGTAATGAATACAACTGGAATTCGATCTCGGTCTTTCGATTTTTCATTCTGAACCGCTATTAATTACACCAACCGCACATCCATCGCAGGTATGAATAAAAGAACAACATATCAATCATTCAGTTTGAGTGACAGGTCGAGTAGAAGTTTAAATTATAGTCTTTAGTCATTTATTTCATGTCGGGCGTGAAATATCTTCATAAGAAGAAAAAGCATAAACATTTTTTTTTTGTAAATGAACTCAACTATTTCTGGATTATAAAATTTTACGTTTGCACTTTATTTGCTCCCTTCTTTTCTTTACCTTTTTTTTTGTAGAATATTTGTATAAGATCAAAATTTCACTCTCTCAACTATCCACAACACATTTAAACAGACCCTCATATATACATTTACAGCTACAGTTTCGAAACATAGTAATTTCTATGTCGCGATAGAATCATAATTTTTTTTAAATAATTATCATTTTAAGCTCTACTTGTGTATCGAGCACTGTTTTTTTTTTAAACAAAAACCAAAATACTAAAGACTTTTGAGATTTAATCTGTTTTTCCTATTACATCAATACACACACACACACACACACACACACACACACACACATATATATATATATATATATATATATATATATATATGTGTGTGTGTGTGTGTGTACAAAGAAAGAAAAAAAGAAAGAAGATTAGAAATGAAAAAGGAAAGTGAAAGAAGAGATTATAATCGGATCCACAGACACCTGAAGAAGATCGGTGAGTATAACACCCGAAAAGGTGGAAGAAAAAGAGAAATAAAGAAAGAAAAAAGAAAAAGAAAGAAAGGAAGGAAAAAGACTGAAAGAAACAAAGAACGAAATAAATAAATGAGAAGAGATAAAAATAAGGAAGAATAAAAAAATGATAGAAAAAATACGAAGAAAAAATAAAGAAGGTGAGAAATAACAAGTACGTAAAAGAAAAAAAAGAAAGAATGAAATAAAGAATAGAAAAAGATAGAAATACAAAGAAAGAAAGAAAGAAAGAAAGAAAGAAAAAAAGAAAGAAAGAAAAAAGGAAGAAATAACAGGAAAGTAAATGAAAGAAAGAAAAAAGAAAGAAATACGAATAAAGAAAGTGGGATAAATAACAGCAAAGTAAAAAAAAGAAAGAAAGAAAGAAAGAAAGAAAGAATGAAAAAAAGAAGGAAAGTTATAATTGAAAAAGAAATACGAAGAAAGAAAGAAAGAAAGAAAGAAAGAAAATAAGAAGTAATGAAAGAATTGAAAAAATAGAAATAAGAAAGAAATTGAAAGAAATAAACAATGGGGAAAGATAGAAATACGGAGAGAAAGGGGAATAAATAAAAAGAAAGAAAGAAAGAAAGAAAGAATGGACGAAATAAACAACTGAAAAAGAAATGAATAAGAAAGAAAAAAAGAAAGGGAGCAAATAACACGAAATTAAAAGAAAGAATGAAATACATGATAGAAATAAGAAAGAAAAAAGAGAAAGAACGAATAGAAAAAGAAAGAAATAGGAAGAAAGAAAGAAGGCGAGACAAATAACAGGAAAAAAAGAAAGAATGAAATATAGAAAGAAAGAATGAAATTGTAACAGATGGAAATAAGAACGAAAGAAAAGAAAGAAAGAAATTGGGATAAATAAGAGGAAAGCAAAAGAAAGAAAGAAATTTTCAATTGTGCACTACCCCAACTCCAGATGAAGTCCACATCCTCAATATGGCGAACACACCCAAATTAAACGTATTGTTAAAGTTAAAATCTGTTTCCTGAGACATTTCACTTTTTGCAAATTGCCGCTGGTCTAACATCTTTTGCTTTTTCGTAAACCGAAATTTAGAAGACCTCACCCTTATCGCTGTCTCCGTCTTTTTTTTTCATTTTTAAATATCAAGTCTTTCTAACCAATGACACGATCTAATCCATGCTTTCTCCGTTAAGTTCCTTCCGCAATGGGCGACGCCCTGTAAACTGTGTACTGTCAACAACAGCCGATGTCGTAGGAAATTTTAAGTAAGTAAATAAATAATAGACCACACCTACTAAAAGAAGATTGATTACTTATAATTAAGACACGTTTACATAGACATTCTTATATTTCGATAGTCCTCTCTTTCCGCCCACCATCGACCGTCTGCTGACAAACATAGGCTTCTTACCCATTCTTTTTATACTACTCTCTACTACGCATGCGCACTAACTGCATCCGTTTGTCGATATTCTTGCTCTGAGCGTCGGCTGTCTGGAATCAATAAAGTCAATGGATAATATTCAAACCATTTTAATTACGATTTTTACTTCGGATCGACAGTCACCGAAATATTTCGATGGAGACAACTTTCGGTATCTGGTATTCTTTGTTGTTTTTTTTTGTTTTTTTCAAAATGTGATCTATGTAAGATCAATCCTCGTATAGAGAGCGGCTGAAAGAGAATATGAGCAGAGTTGAAGAAGAGACTTGAAGCAAAAGTGATGTTTTACAGAACGATGTTGGGAATACGATGGACGGTTAGTGTGAGAAATATAGGAATATTTAAGGAATATAAGAACTGTAAGGAAACTTATGAAATAGACAAAGTCTGACAATTATCGGACTTTGTCCATTTCATAATGTGTGACGTTATTTGTTTACATTTGTATACGCATTGAGCAGATATGAATGTACGTGAGAGAACCATGGAAGATTTAAGTTTAAAGACAGTAAAATCGACCTAGCTAACCGAACGATCCTCTGTGGCCCAATCGGTTAAAGGCACGTCAGGCTATATGACGGTTCCGTATAGGATACAGGTTCGATTCCTGTCGGAGGACGAATATTTTCTATGAAAATTTCTCGGTCATTCAGGCCGGTAAATATTGTTTATTTTAAACAGAACATTTACTTAAATATTTTATCTATAAAAAGAATGTATAAACATAAAAATATCTTAAATAATTGTCGGACTTAGTGTGACGTCATTGTTTACATTTGGATACGCCATGAGCAGATATGAATGTACGTGAAAGAATCATGGAAGATTGTAGTTTAAAAACATTAAAATCGACCTTGCTAAGCGAACGATCCTCTGTGGCCCAATCGGTTAAAGGCACGTCAGAAAGAGAATATGAGCACAGTTGAAGACGTCAGGCTATATGACGGTTCCGTATAGGATACAGGTTCGATTCCTGTCGGAGGACAAATATTTTCTGTGAAAATTTCTCGGACATTCAGGCCGGTAAATGCTGTTTAATACTGTTTATTATAAACAGAACATTTACTTAAATACTTGTATTTATAAAAAGAATGTATAAACATAAATATTTCTTAAAATAAGGAAGCTTATACATAAAATCAGTAAGATACGTAAATCGACCTAGATATGCTCTACAGACGGCTGATGAGAATACCATGGATGGAGCATTTGAGCAATGCGGAGGTTTTAAGGAAAATGGAAACAAAATGAACGTTTATGCTAAGAATCAGAGACAGTTGAAATTACTGTAACACATAAAGAGAAAAGAAAGCATGGAAAATTTGACACACCCAAGAGAGATAAAAGAAAAAGGAAATTAACCTACATAACGAATTTGTTAAAATGGATGGTAGAACACAGAGTTGGAGAGTTAATAAAAAAGACAGCTATTGCTAAGGTAAGGGTTATAAAGGATAGGAAGGTGTGGAGAGCCATGACCACTGACACCCTAAAATGTCTTTGTACATATAAATAGCAAAATGTAGCTAACTATTAACAGACATAAATGCAGACATATTTCCATCTGATGAAAAACAGAGATTTGGTCGAAACTTTTTCTTAATGTATGACAGTCCAATGAAAGTGTTAAAAAGTCATTACATACAAGCAACAATAACAACAATGGCGAGAAGAGTATTTTTTTAAGTATTGAATATTACTAACGCAGTTGAGTGTCAAAAGCAAAAACAAAAAAATGTCAAAAAACGTTGAAAGTATCAATTGATTATTAGCAATAATAACACGTCTCAGAAAAGAAAAGAAAAAAAAAAGAAACATGGCGAGTATTCAATAAATATTAACAACTCATCTCAAAACCTCGCCAAAAACATCAACAAAAATAAATATAGTTCGAAATATTCATCGAATATTAACAACGACTTGCATCAAAACGTCAGACAGAGAGAACGGAAGATGAGAAGAATATATAATATTCATTCTATACGAACAACTTAAAGTCTTAGAAAAAAAAAAAAAAACGATTACCGTATTTCCGGCTTACAAGACGCTACGGCTTGGAAGACGCACCCTAATAGTGAAAAAAAAATTCAAACAAAAAGTCATTCTCATGCAACAACACATTCACCATGTGTCCCTCACATATTGACTAACCTATCTGAACTGGAGCTGGAGCTACACAGTCATCATTTGCTTGTTTTGATAGAGTTTAAAAGTGTCTACACGGACTTGTTGATGAATCATTCCCCCGCCCGCAACTCATTTCCCACAAACGAAACGTCTCACCACCCTTGACCTTTACAACTGTGAAGCGCCATGCCACATAAACAAGTGTGAATCATCTGCGTTCCCTTCGTGTTTCAATACTAAGAAGTTCTACTCAAACAGCTTCTTCATAGGAACTGCTGTGGAACTGACTTCCGGTGGCATATTTTCCAAATCATTTCAGATTTGACTTTCTCAAATCTTGGCTTAACCGTTATCTTTTCTGCATAACACCAGGAACTTCTCTTTTTGACTTTTCTCATACAATATAACACACTAACTTTCTATCTTGGATGGCTCTTGGTCCTTGAACTCAATGAACATTAGTAGAAAAAGATTGATCAGGATTAAAGGGAAAAGACATCAATAACACAGGATAGACAAACAGGTGGATATATAGAATTGAATATATATATATATATATATATATATATATATACATTATTCGGACTATTGTCCTCATCTTTATCGCCATATTTATTACAACTTTTAGGCCAGAGCGTACAACGCCCGAAACGTTGTAATAAATATGGCGACAAATGAAGAAGACAATATTCAATAATAATAATAATAATAATAATATATATATATATATATATATATATATATATATATATATATATATATATATATATATTCAAAAGCTCTAACACAAAACTACCCAAGTTTCAATTTAGTGCTTTTGAATCTATTTTTGCTCCCAGTCAGTTATGTGCCATATGTCATATACGATTAGGCGATCATGTATCTTTCGATACAGGACTGTCGAGGTCACAGTTCCCATTTCTTTCTGCGGTAGATCAATTTTCACCCAAAGCTATAGAACCCGGTCTGTCAGACTATTTACCTATAGCTGGGGGGAGAAGAAGAGGATTCATACCTTTCCCAAGGGTATTATTTCCCAAGTGAATATAATGGATCCGATTAGAATTCGAACTTGGCTTATGTATCTCTGCTATATTTATGGGATAAAGTGCTTAATATCAGAGATAGAGCGTGTGTGGCATGACGATTGCGTCTAGCATGAAACAGCCTGTCGCCTCTAAGTGCTGACCTCAATGTTCACTTTTCTATATATATATATATATATATATATATATTGTTTGTTTGTTTTTACGGCATATCCACGTCAACGGGTTATTTAATGCCGACAATATTTTTATTGCTGGTAATATTTTTTCAAAAATGTATTACTGCTAATATTTTTTAAAAATGTATTACTGCTAATATTTTTTTTTCAAAATTGCTGCGAAATGTATTGCTGGTACTGAAAACCTATTTTTAGTAAAATAAAAAAGAAAGAACAGTAAGATATATAATCCGATGTTCTTATTGATATTTTTATTTTTACAAAATAGTGCTCAATGTAAATTTACAGAGCATTAATATTATAAATTAACTGATTTAAAATATGTTTTTTTTCGCAACACAGTTCTAACCATGTTTCAAAAATGGAAGCTAAAAGCTTCAAATTAATTTTGTAATTAAATTAAAGATATTATTTCCATTTCATCCAGAAGCGAATTTTGGAGTAACTTATTTTTAAATTTACTGGGTTTTAAAGGCACTGCAAAAATCATAATTTACTGTTTCCAAGGATAAAGAGAGATCGATTCATCCAGACAAGGGGTGGCTGCGTGTTCATTTTCATTAACTATTGTTGTATCAGTTATTAGTTACGTTTGAAAAAAGAGTTACGTTTAGGTAGGGGTAGGGTTGTATTTTTCAACGAATTCTGACATCCGTCGTCTGGATTTTTTTACGGCATTTTTTCTATTTGTATACTTAAAATTTTTGGGAGGATGTTTATGTTAGAATACGTTTTATTTAACTACAATTTTAAAATATTTTCACTTTTAATTTTTAATAGACTATATTTCTTTTTAAAACAAGTAAATGTATTAGAATTACTTACAGTATGTAAAATTATTTTTTCATATCAAGTATAAGTATGCATATTATCAGGTCACTTTTTTTAAAAATTTTATATTTAAATATTATTTAAGGAAAATTTATGATAATGACGGCAAAAAATAGCTAATTCATTTCTCTGATTTAGTAGACTTTTATTTTTTATAAACTTAGTAATATATAGTTTCTCATGTATGTACAAAGGACATGGGTCATTTAATGACCTACATATTCTAGCTTTTCATATTAATTTCATTTTACTGTAGGTGTTTTATTGGATTCTTTTAAGTGCTTGTAGTACTTTGAGAGAGGTGTTTAGGTTAGAATACGTTTTACGTCCCGTAAATATTTGATTGGGATGATCTCGTGCAAAGAAATTTCCAAGCTGTTCCTCAAATCAATTCTGAAGAAAACTTGACCTAATGACATGCTGCATTGTCCTACCTGAATACCCCCATCGTTATTCATGGAAATGGTGTCTGTGAATGATGCAAATGGTAATGAGAACATGTATGTTGCTTTTTTGATAAATTGGTTTCCTGAGTTTCATGTGTTCTGAACCAAAATCTAACTCCACTGTCAGTACGAAACATCTAAAACTGTGACTCATTCCATGTTTCCAGTCCTTCCGAGTTCAAATTGCGACAACACCAACTCGGGGCGCTGCTCTCTGTTCAGTGTCATCGTGTTAACAGGAGCCCTGTGTTGGGTCTTCTGATCTCATATGGAACCTAAACTACGCCAGACTGACCTGTCCAGTATACGTCTGATACCTCCTGCATTGAATGTGAATATAAGTCGATTCAGTGTCGCCATTCTAGCCACCTCTATTCATGTTCAATAAGGACCCGTGGTCGATTTACTATGCAGTCCGCACTGGTTCGTCATGCTTCCCGACTGGTATTCCCGCTACACACGTGACACCAAGGTATATCAATTTCCGAAATTAAATTTCCCTTTTGTTAGGCACTCACTATCATACCTCGTTCAAAATCCGAGCGTCCTAGCTACTATTACTGATTTATCTTACGTCAAATTATGGTGGCGCTACATATAATTACCTTTACATAATATTCGCCATGACTTTTGGC